GTCTGACTGTATGGTGGGTATGACCCTATGGCCTGCCGCAAAAACCCTCGAATCAAGTGGCCCCAAAACCCTAAACCCCTATAAACCCTACCGAAAGAAAACCCTCAACCCTTCGCCCGAAACTCGGATTGAAGGCACGTTTTCCCTAACATTGAATAGCCATGCCCCGGTTCATAGTAGATCTTGGATATACAATAACATATTGGAGTGGAATATGGGGTTTCACCCTAAACCCTAGATTCAACTTTACCCTCTAAAGCCCTGGAGCCCTGTGCTGCAGAAAGGCTTCGGGAGGTCGGGTTTAGGGTTCCGGGCGATTTTTAGCTCCCACATAGCTGACCAAAGCCACACAGCAGGGTTCAGGGTTCAGGCAGGGTTCAGGGTTCAGGGGGCTAGGGTTTAGGATTCGGGTCATTTGGGCTTAGGGCTGTAGGGGTCTGGTCCAAAAAGATTCAACAAAACCCCAAGCTCTCAGGAGACAAAGCGAAACCTCAAGATCTCAGGAGACCCCTGAAACCCTGAAACCCTAAACCCTGCACCGAAACCCTGAACCCGAACCTCTGCGGACCTGAAACTTGCCAACTTGGCCAGAAACCACTAACACATCCCCCCCCCCAATGTTAGAAGTTGAGCCCAAGGGCTTTTGAAACTTTGGGGTTTAGGGTTTAGGGTTTAGGGTTTAAGGTTTCGGTCAAGGTTCCAATTTTTGGAGACACGTCGACTAAGTTGGTCCGTGAGCCCCGTAAGGAAGAACATTGCGAGATTAAGAGCCTCTTAAACTCGACAAGAGAGCATACGTTCGACGCCTAGGGTTTCGCTGCCAATGCGGACGAAACACAGGGCCGACAGAGACTCCGTGATGGCGACAACATCGTTGTCAGGTTCCTCCTCCGCTCCTGGCGCAAGGCTCGTAGTGGCAGGGCTTTGCATCTAGGGTTGAGGGTTTAGGGTTTAGGGTTTAGGGTCCTCCCAGCGCAAGCTCATAAGGGACAGAAGGAGAGACCGGGACCGTCGGGAGCACCCCTTGAATATGTCAGTCGCCCTTGATCGAGGGCACAAGGGTGAGGACGACGTACTTGCCCTCCTAAACCCCTAAACCCTAAACCCTAAACCCTAAACCCTAAACCCTAACCCTAAACCCTAATCCCTGCAAAGAAGGGCACTCCTCGCAGCGTCTCTTCCTCCGGGCCGCAGCACTTCGGCTGGTATTGCCCCATGGCTCATCGACCACCACCCGACGTCACAGGCTTAGGGTTTCGGGTTTAGGGTTTAGGGTTTAGGGTTTAGGGTTTAGGGTTACAACCAAACGGCAGTTACACTACGCAGCTACGAACCGGAAAAAATGCTAGAACCCTGTCCGGGATGCGTCTGGCCGCCTGGCCCGTTGGCCATGACAGCTCCTATCGTCGGCTTGCGGAACTAAACGTGCAGGAGGCCATATGATGGCCGCCGGCCTTTCTAAAGCTCCCTGAGCCAATATAAGAAACTGTTTAGGGTTTAGGGATTAGGGTTTAGGGTTTAGGGTTTAGGGTTGCTGCCAGACACAGGGTGCAGCACATACAATCCTCTAACCACACGATCTGGATGATCGAAACAAAAGCGGCCAAGCAGACAAATAAACAACATCCACAAGAGGGTTTAGGGTTCAGGAGCTAGATAAGGGTCCCTTCCTGGGGTGCCTGTTATAAGGGGTGCCGCATTGCAGACAAGACGCAAAAGAGGACCCTGATTTCAGAACTACCCATGAGGTCTTTGCGCCTTGGAGAGCTCTCTGCGTTGGCAGGTGGGGTTTGGGATGTTTCTGGGTTTAGGGTTTAGGGTTTTGAGGTTTAGGGTTTCTTTGGACACAGTTTCGGGGTCCATGCTGAAGTTCCGGGTGGCTGTTGCCTAGCCGAGTGCGCTTGTCACGTTGAAGCTCCGTTCCCAGCGAGCCCAACACCCCCTAAATTAAGAAATATGCCTTAAACTGTAAAAGGGGATCGTTTCTTTGACTTAAGGAATATCCCCTTAAACTTAAGGGTATTGGGCTCTTTGGGCCTTTTTTTTTTGCATTGCCGGGGGTCGTTGCCAGAGTCATTGCTCTCATGCCACACGGTGTGGACTTTGGGGGGGGCTCTTTGATAAGACTTCGGCCATCAACTTCGTCAGCCTACGTGATTGCCGACACTCCTGAAAGCCCCTAGGGCAAACCTTACTTGCCCCCAAAGTCAAGGGGAGCGCGGTTTCAGAACTGATAATTTCAGAAATCACCCACGTCCCGAATCCAGGCAAGGGGGGGTATTCTTGCCATGGCGCCAAGTCACCAAATCCCCCAGAAGCTCTTGGGCAGGGGTCTACTTCAAGGTTCATGGGTAGTTATAAGTAGGGTTATAAGTGCCCGAAATGAGGTTATAACCAGTTCTACTGAAAGCTACCCTACCTACAACCCCACATATAACCACCCCATGAACCTGTTTCAGGGTCTAAGAGTTCAGGACTTGGGACTTTGGGGACGCTAAGAAGTCGAAGAGAAGCTCGTTTTATGAAGGGTTCAGGGCCTTAGGGTTACAACTACAACGCACGTCCATAAGTGAAGGGCGACTTCGACACCAGGCTTGCCATGCGTGGCGGCTTCATCAGCTTTGCCGAGTGCCGCTCGGGAACAAGACTTTAAGCGCTGTCTTGAGCCTCGCCGAGGGGAACCGCTACACTGATGCAGCTGCTGCCTGCGATGCGTTTAGGGGTCAGGGTTCAGGGTTCGGGGTTCAGGGTTCAGGGTTCAGGGGTTCAGGGGTTTAGGGTAGGGATCCTGGCTCATCTTCGGCAGGCAGACATGACAGTTCCTACTTGGCGCGTGAGATGACACTCCAGCACATCCAGCAACCGGGAACCCCACGCCTCGTGCCACCGGGTCCTTGTCGTACACCATGTCCTACACCCTGAAAGAGCCCTAAATCGAACACCAGACCACAAGCCACACATTGTCGTACCCGATTTAAAGTTGTTCAGAGGCTAAACCCTAAACCCTAAACCTTAAACCCTAAACCCTGAACCCTGAACCCTGAACCCTGAACCCTAAACCCTAAACCCTAAACCCTAAACCCTAAACCCAAACCCTAAACCCTAAACCGGTGGCTCTCCACCTATAGTGCTTTTTGAAACTCCAGCTTTTGTCAGGGGACCCGGCGGGCATAATGACGCTTCTGCTGCCAGATCTGGTCAGCGTGAAAGCGCAGTGCAATCTACACTCTCAAAACAACCCTCAACCCTGAACTCAACCTTCGGCTTGAGGGGGCGGCCGTGGAGGATTCACCTAAACTCTGGGGTCTCCGAGGGCTCAGGGCTTAGGGTTCGGGCTGAAATCCTGAACCCTAAACCCTCACGGGTGAAGGGCTGGCAGTCCGAGGTTCGAAACGATCTATGCCTTGAGCCGGAGCCACAAGTTCCAAAACCCTACGCCCCCTTGGTTTAGGGTTTAGGGTTTCGGGTTTAGGGTTTAGGGTTTAGGGTTTAGGATTTAGGGTTTAGGGTTTAGGGTTTCGGGTTCAGGGCTTCCAAGCCGACCCTGGGGCCAAGACCAAGCCACATTGCCGGGCGACTCGGACGGGTTAAGGATTCGTGCTTGAGGGTTTAGGGTTTAGGGTTTAGGGTTTAGGGTTTAGGGTTTAGGGTTTAGGGTTTAGGGTTTAGGGTTTAGGGTTTAGGGTTTAGGGTTTAGGGTTTAGGGTTTAGGTTGAGATGTCCCCGTCTCGAATAGGGATTATAGTACCCTCCCCTACTATCATTCCCTATGAAGGACTGTGAGTATAAGGGGGGAACATCCCAAGGGTTTGGGCTTAGGGCTAAGTGGCTTTGGGTGGCTTTGGGGAGGGTACGTAGATTACTAATCGGATCGGGCGGCCAGTATCTTGGAGGCTCACGGGTATTAGGGTTTAGGTTTTATTAGGGGTTAGGGTTTAGGGTTTAGGGCTTAGGGTTTAGGGTTTAGGGTTTAGGGGTTAGGGTTTAGGGTTTACGGTTTAGGGTTTAGGGTTTAGGGTTTAGGGTTTAGGGTTTAGGGTTTACCACCGCAAGACGTTGATTCATCAGGCTCCATAGCCACACCAAAGAACGGGGCCCTCGCGTCTCGTCCCCTTAAAGGGACCCCCAAAAAGTGCACCCCGTATTTCGGAAACCCCCATATAGATATCCGCGGATCCCGTAGTTTCACAAAGCACTGCGGAAAGTCTGAGTGGAAGGCGGACTTCCTGAAACCTTTCTGTTGGTTAGTAGGGAATGAGGGAATGAGGTACCCTATATCCCCCTAATATATACCCTTTAAGGGATTATATACGGTACCCTATATCCCCTAATATATACCCTTTAAGGGACTATATAGGCTACCTCATTCCCCCATTCCCAACTAACCAACAGCAAGAAACGTGCGCGGGTGCAGGTACAAGATGCTGCAAAAGTGAAGCCGGCGCACTCAGACTTGGCGAGCCTTCGAGGGAGCTTCCAAAGTCCACTTCGCGGGTTAGGAATTTAGGGTTTAGGGTTCAGGGATTAGGGTTTAGGGTTTAGGGTTTAGGGTTTGGGGTTTGGGGTTCAGGGATTAGGGTTTAGGGTTTAGGGTTTAAAAGCCACAGCATAGGAAGATCGACCACTTGAATCCCATCATGTAGCCACGCACAAAGAGGCACTCAGCATACCTCACGTTCTCTACCTGGAGGTTCGTGGCATTTAATTACGGTTATAAGTCGGGTAACTATACTTATGACTTACAACGCGACAGAACAACAACCCATGAACTTTCAAGTAGAGGGAATCCGAAGCCCGAAACCCTAAACCCCTAGTCCCCTAAACCCTAAAGCCCTAAACCCTAATCCCCTAAACCCTAATCCCCTAAACCCTAATCCCCTAAACCCTAAACCCCTAAACCCTAAACCCTGGACCCCTAAACCCTAAACCCTAAACCCCTAAACCCCTAAACCCTAAACCCTAAACCCTAAACACCCCAAGGTCGGCCTGGGGCCTCCAGGTCAGAGGCTGCGCTTGCTGTGCAAAGGGTAGCTGCTGATCTCCTGGCCTGGAAGGCGTTTGATGGGGCTTGGGGTTTAGGGTTTCGGGTTTTAGGGTGGAAGTTGAGGGGGTTTGGGGTGTAATCGCTCACGTTTAGGGTTTAGGGTTTAGGGGTTTAGGGGCTTAGGGGTTTAGGGGTTTAGGGGTTTAGGGGTTTAGGGGTTTAGGGGTTTAGGGGTTTAGGGGTTTAGGGGTTTAGGGGTTTAGGGGGTTTGGGGTTTAGGGTTTAGGGGTTTAGGGGTTTAGGGGTTTAGGGGTTTAGGGGTTTAGGGGTTTAGGGGTTTAGGGGTTTAGGGGTTTAGGGGTTTAGGGGTTTAGGGCTCAGGGTTCAGGTTGCGGAAGGCTTTTCGGGTGGGCACTGACTCTGCTGGCACCTTCTGCCCTGAACTGAGGCCACACCAGCTTAGAACCTCCCGCCACCTCCTCGCAATTCCTCTCAATGCCCACCGGGTCACGTGAGAAGACGTGAAGATTGTGAAGCCTCGGGTTCAGGAGCAACTCTCTGACGGGCTCTCGGATGTGCTGGTATCCGTCTTTCAACTCGAGTGTTACAGTTCAAGACCTAGACCATCGCTATTGGACGGCAGCCTAAGAAAGCACAGCTACCGTGCCCAAATGCATGCTGCACGTTGCATAAACCCGAAACCCTAAACCCTGTGTCTTCAAGGGAGAAGTCAAGCAGACCACTGGAGAATTGCTTCCTGCACACCCCCCACCTAACTGACGGCCATAGCGATTCACAGTAACCCACGAAACGCATCCGCACCAGGCTTCGATGAGCTCTTCCCTAAAACTCTCTGAGGTGCTTAGGGTTTAGGGTTTTTTTTCTGGGTTTAGGGTTCAGTGTTGAGGGTTGAGGGTTGAGGGTTGAGGGTTGAGGGTTTAGGGTTTAGGGTTTAGGGTTCTCCTGCACTACCGTATCATAAAACCGTGAAATGATTGGTGCTGACGGCTGCTTGGCACACCTGCAATCAGTTCCAGGAGCATGGTACCATGAAAAGCACGTAGGGCTTCTGTGCACCGGAGGCAACACGACAGAACCCTCAACCCAACAACCAAGAACTGGAAATCCCGCCCAGACTCCCACTGTCGACCTCACAAGGGCCCAACAAGAACCCGAACCCAAAGCCCCAAGACCCTCAACCCTTGCTTGCATCCCCTTCACCCACCCCGAATGTGACCCTTGAACCTCAAGAAGCCCAAGGCCCAGAACCCCCGAACCCCAAACCCTAGAGCCACTAAAAACACCTCAACCCTGAAGCCCCTCTGTCCCCCCCCCGCTCTGCACCCCACAACTCCTCCCTAAACCCTCAACCCTGCACCCCACAGCCCCTAGACCCCCTTGCGTCAACCCCTAGAACCCGTGTTTGGGGTTTAGGGTTTAGGGGTTTAGGGGTCTAGGGTTTAGGGTAAAGTCTCAAACACCTAACCCTAAACCCTAAACACCAAGCCCAAAGCCAGGTGGCTGCAGCGCCGAAGCTTTTCGGAACTGTGCCCGAAGGGCTTCCGTCGAGGGGGCGTCCTCCCGGGATGCGATTTGGGGAGAGGGCTGTGGGCTCTTGGGGGGTTCCTGCTGCATGATCTGAGGGTTCTGGGCTATAAGGGGTTTAGGGGTTCGGGTTTGGGGAGGGGGCTTGCAAAATGGCCTTGCATGTTGGATGAGGCTTGGGTTTGGGGGATAAAGCCTTTCGAAGGTTGGGCACTTAGGGTCTAAGGCTCAGAGCTTAGGGCCTCACAAGAAGCTCTCAGAAGAGGTCTTGTCTCTGCGCCACGCCACCAATCCCACCATATCCATCGGGACGTCTGCAAAGGGTCTGTGTGTTCTAAGGCACTGCGACGCTGACCATTACGCAGGTACCTACTGTGCGTTGACGACCACTTTGCAGAAGCGAGTCCCTCGGAGCACCACGATGGTAGTGACGAAGACCATATGGGCATTTCCCAGAATAGGGGTACCCCCCAAACAGAATAGAATCCTCTTGAAGGGACCCCCTAAAACGGGTACCCCCATTTCCGGAAACCCCCCCCAATCTTTTCTTTGACACACCGAGGCGAGGACAACACTTGGAGACAAGACCAATCTAGAGTCCAGTCTGATATGGGGGTCTAAAGACGGGGGGTACCTTCTCGGGGTCCTTTTTATAAGGGGATCCTGCTATTTGGGGTCCTTCTTATAAGGGGATCCACTCTTTGGGAGGTCCTTTTTTTAAGGGGATCTTACTACTATTTGGGGGTCTATTTTTGCGGCCCCCTTTTTTCGTAAACCCCCAAATGCCGGGCTGCTTCAATGTCTACGACCAAGCACCAAAATCACATACTGCGCAAACAAACAAGTAAGCGGACAGCCGGCTCCATTCCTAGTGTTCTGCTCAATGCTTTGGCCGAGGTTCGCCCCGAAAAAGGCACGTCCATCTGGCCCTTGTAGCTTGTTGCTATTTTCTTTCAGCGCTTGTGCTTGCTTTTGGGATTCTCCCGCGCACGCCCCCCCCCTTCCCCGACCCACACCCCCGCCACTCCCCGCGGCACACAGGTAGGTAGGTTGTCTGCAAAGCCCCTGATCAGGTGTCCTAGACCCTAAACCCTAAACCCTAAACCTCTAATTACCCTCTTCACGGTCCCTTTGGCGGTTTCATGACTTGAAGGTTCATGGGTAAGAAAAAGTAGGGTTTCATGTAAGGGTAGCTTTAGTGATAAATCGTTACAACCTTGTTTAGGATACTTATGTCGCTACTTATACTGCCCTGAACCTTCAAGTAGGGCTTAAAGGTCTGAGGCGTGGGGATGTTCCCCCTTATACTCACAGTCCTTAATAGGGATTATAGTGCCCCAAATTATAATCCCTATTGAGGTTGCTAGTATAAGGGGGGACATCTCAATGTTCAGGCTTGGCGCCACCCACAGCCTTGTCAAGCTTGCGTGACAATATCTCCAGCTCGCGCTGGATCTTGTGGAGTTCCTCAACCGCAGGGCTCTGGGGTTTAGGGCACCCTAAACTGCAATGAACAACACTCCTAAGTAGGGTTTTAAGTAGGATGACTATAGTCGTAACCATTTTTCGGGCTTATAACTCCACTACTGCTTAACACTACCCATGACCCTACGAAGCTGCACGAGCTGCACAAGCAGTTCTAATTCTGTTTGGGGTCATCGCGAAATATAGGCATGCTACCCTACCTATAACCCTGCTTCTATCCACCCACCATGAACCTCCTAGAAGTCCTAAGCCCATGAGGTTCCAACACTCGCCTCACTATATACTTCCAAGGAATTCGGGAAGGGATTACATGGGCTCAGTGCCGGCACAGGACCGCGCGCATGGCAACCTGGTCGATTGCACGCGCAGGTCCTTAGAGACAGGATGGCCAGGACTCAGAACGGCAGGGGGGGGTTGATTGGGCCGAAGAGCACAACACCAGCAGAGCACCGAAACAGTAGGACAAGACTGAACACTGGATTGAACCAATGACACACACACACACACACACAGGGACAGAGACATACACACACACACACACACACACACACACACACACACAAAGACAGACCGGGGCACACGAATTTCAAACCCAGCACCCAAGTCCTCTCAGTCCCTCCAGACCTTGCGGCATCCAAGTCGCCTTTGCAGCGCAGTATGCCATCCTTGACTGGATCATGGTGGTAAGTTCCCACTTATGGTCTCTTTTGTGTGAGAGCCGATGAAAGAGCGAGCCCATCCGAAAAGGGAGCCTCGACTGTTTCGACTCCCGTGCTCTCACGCCCGGGAAGCAAGGCGCCGGAAAGTCTCAGTCGTCAGGGGTACAGCGATCACACTTGTCAGGAGCCCTGCGTTCAACCTCTGCCCCGTGGATTTGCCTTGCCACGGGAACCAGAAAAAACGAAACGTGAGCAGGTGCGAAGCCCATCAGCCTAGTGGCTAGCAAGCATCACCCTTCTGTGCACAAGCTTTACAAGAGAGGCTGGCAGGGGGCTGGCAGGGTGTCGCGCTACTGTACAAGCTTTGGAGCTATACATTGCCGGGAACAAAAGAATTGTGCTTCCCACAGATATCCATGGGACATTCTAGGGATCTCTGCATGCAATATGCTCTCCTGCAACAGCAGCACCGAGAAACATGTTGCCCGAGTTGACAACAATGACCGTCAGCAAGCTTAAGAGTGTCCCGGCGCTGTGCTTCAGGCCCTCCGGCACTTCAGGCGCATCCCCGATGTATCGGTACGCCATCGTGAGCAGGTAGCCTTCCAAGCCGCCGCAGGCAGCGTAGGACGCGATGTAGAGCATGCCGCCGACGTGGCTGGTCCAGAAGCTGCGCCAGAGCCCCGCCGCAGCCGTGCAAAACAAGAAGCAGGAAAGGTACTGCAGCAGGCAGAGGCAGATAAAGATCGGCCGAGGGCATGCAGCTAAGGAGGAGAACACAGAGCCGACGGGAACCAGGATCTGGGAGAGCGTGAGGGAGAGTCGCCAGATGTGGCGGCCGACCTCGCCATCACATCCAACAGGGTCGGCCATCTCTGCGCCGATCTGCCCCAAGGTGGCGGCTAAGCTCCACTGAGTGATCTGCGTCAACGTCGCCAGCACCACGGGCAGAATGAGCTGCCGTGGGCAGCGGAGCCCCGACAGCTGCTCCAGGCAGAAGCTTCGCGGAGCCTCCCGGGAATCCTCACCGGCTTTGGTGCCTGACGAGGCTGTGGTCGAATCGGTCTCCTCTTCCACCTGCGGTGAAGGGACCTCCACATCCACCACAGGAGCCTCTTTGCTGCTGGTGGCCTCCCCCTCCTTCCTGAGCCCGATGCCGTTTTGAAGGATCACTGCCCAGGCAACGAGGCCGAGGCAGCTGATCAGGGTGTAGAAGACGAAGAGGAGCCACATGGGAAACGTGTGGGCTTCCCCATCCGGGCTCTGCAACTGCGCCAGGAAGGTGGTGAACATACTCGAGAGGTCCGTGCCTGCCCTCACCGGGGCCACCAGCCAGCCCCCGTAGTAGGTCGAAACAAGCGGAAAGAGCATCAGAATCGAGCCGTTGCCCACGATCGACCCAGTCACGGCGGTCGCCAAGACCATGGGATAGCCTGGGGGGCGAACATCCCATGCCAAGGCCAAGGCCGCAAAGCTCGCCACCGCAAGCAAGATCACCGAAGTGCTCCACCTCTGCTCAGCGCGCCGCGACGGCTTGCCGCAGGCCGCCAGCCAAAGGAGGTAGACGCCACAAAGGGTCAGGCTGACGATGGAGCCCAACAGCGCCACCTCACCCGTCATCCTTCCTCCTTGAGACACATCGGGCTCGTTGGCGATGAGGTTGAGCAGGCCATTGATCACAAACCAGCCGCTGGCGGTTCCAACCAAGATGAAGGCCAAGTACACGATGCCATCACTGGCGGCCTGCTGGCCAGACGTGTTGCACAAGACAGCCATGGCGGAATCTAGAGAATCTAGGGACATCTACTGCTTGAGCTAAAAATGTGAGGGCTTAGGATTCGGGCTTTGGGCACGCAGGTATTGCTGAGAGCAGACCAGAAGTGTGTAGCAGGCTTGTTGGCTGGCATGTAAACCTTTTTCGGCAGAGTAGCTGCAGCGCAGCCAAACCCTAAACCTGAAACGGCTCCTCACCTCAAAAACCCAAGCAACTCGTGTTGCACACCCAAGTGGGCTGCAATTCCATTCGTACGGCCACACAGGAGAGAAGCCTGAATCCAAAGCTTTCCAAGAGGCTATAAACTCCTCAAGAGTAACTTCGCCGTCTCCATTGTCCTGGTTTAGGGTTGAGGGTGGAGGGTGGAGGGTTGAGGGTTGAGGGTTGAGGGTTTAGGGCTCACGCCTCCTTGGGTACAAGCAGCACAAACTTAGAACGACCCTCACATGATATTGGGGGTACCTTTTTGGGGGTCTTGAAAACAAGCGACCCTACTATTTGGTGGTCCCTTATTATCGTAAACCCAAACATGCTTAAATAAAGGTCCTTGGGGGGGGGGGGGGGGGGGGGACTTTGTGAGTAGCCCAAGTATCTTTATAAATTGGCACCGGTGCAACAAAAGCTGCAACCAAGACAGCGCGACCAGCTCCAGATAGTCTCTTGCCCGAAGGATTCATGTGGGCACTAATATGTAGCCCCTTCTGCAACTAAAGCCTTCCCGTAACCCTAAACCCGGAGCCCTACTTACAAGCACCCAATGGCGATGTTACCTTGAGGCCAAGGGTCAATGATGTGAAACAGGGCGGCACCTTCGACCCAAGGCAGGCTCAGGGGGGCCCTCTTGGGGTTTAGGGTTTAGGGTTTAGGGTTTAGGGTTTAGGGTTTAGGGTTTAGGGTTTAGGGTTTAGGGTTTAGGGTTTAGGGTTTAGGGTTTAGGTCAGGGTGTCAGTTTTTGTTTTTGACCAGGCTTAACTCTATCTACTTACTTCAATAAACCAATATGCTGGCTCCCCGAAATTAGCGGTTAAACTACTTTCCCTCAAACCCTGTATTTGATTAACAGCAATGACTGCTCGAGCTCCTGACGAAACGGTAACTTGTTTATCGTAGGCTAGTCCCGAAACCTATTGTATTCTTCCCCGACAAAAATGATGAAAGACATACGCTATTGCAATACAAGTGCTAAATAACCACTCAGGAACTAACAAAGTTAACCAAAGGAATCGAACCAACTCTAACTTCAGCAGAAAACTGAACGAGATTTGTGCTCAGTATTAAAAATCTATGTGCCCTCTTCCGAACTGATACATACATCACTTCGTTTAATGCTAAAGTGGCTTAACTTCACTACATAAACTATTGGTCTGACTGGCAATTGTTGAAGTAGGGCTCTTTTTCCATAAAACCAGCTTCATCAGTTGCAGAGCGAATCATGCTAGGATGAAGGCCATGCCTGATAGCCATAGACCCTTTGCAACGCTCACTGAAGCCCGTTTTTGGTCTGGGTTTAGGGTTTTTTGGTGGGTTTAGGGTTTAAGGTTTGGGAGCTAAGGTTTAGGGTTCAGGGTAACCCTGCTTGCAAGGGCTACATCTGGCCACCAGGAGTGCGACTTAAACCACCGAACCCTACAACCGAGAACTTAACTTCATGACTCCCAAAAAAACTTACGGAAAGCCTGTCTAAGCACCTTTGAAACGAACAGCGACAAACCCTGAAAGCCCTTCAAGAACCTTAAAATGCTCTTATGCCACAACTCTAAACCCTACACCCAAACCCTAAACCCTAAACCCTAAACCCTGAACCCTAAACCCTAAACCCTAAACCCCAAACATGGCTGAGCGCTTCCTTAACGGGTCCCGAGCCGGCCTTCGTGCACATCCAGCTCCAGGGTCTGGAAATAAGCCCTTACCTGGGTATGGGGGCTTAGGGTTTAGGGTTTAGGGTTTAGGGTTTAGGGTTTTGGGTTTTGGGTTTAGGGTCCATGGCAAGTTAATGGAAGTTATAAGTAGGGAGATATGTGGGGTAATTATACTTCCTTGGGTTATCTTGGGTTACGCATAACACCCGGGGTTTGCGGGGGGTTGGAGGGAGTTTTGGCTTAGGGCTACCCGGCACCTCCCAGGCGCCGCAGAGTGTCGATGCCGCCCTGAAAGCCCTTTTATTACAGCCCTCCAGACATTCGAGGGGACAAAGTCATCAACAACATCCATGCGCTTCTTGAATGATAAAACGCTCACGAAGTCCGACTCAAGGGGGTGAGAGCCCAGGCTTCGGAGTTCGCGTACTCTTGGGGGGGCCCTCAGAGTCAGACTAGGGTTTTGGGGGGTCCTCATGGTATCATCCCTAAGGGACCCTAAGGGAATACTACCTAGTAACTATTCCGACCCGTACTGTTGGGAGGGCATTGGTTTGCCAGAAGAAGCATGCCAGCCAGGGTGCGATTGGGTCGGCCAAGACCGAGCTCAGCTGCGCCTGGGAAATCATGCCTGCGAGGGAAGATCAAGGTCACATAGGGGGTCATCTTACTGTTGGTTCGTAGGGAACGGGGGAATGAGGTACCCTATATGTAATCCCTTAAAGGGTATATCTAGGGCCCTGATTCCCTCATTCCCTGCCAACCCACAGTAAGTCACGTGGGAGTTTCTCTCTAGAATGTGGGGCCTCTTTCTGGGTGCCCTCAGCAAGGTTCCATTTTAGAAAAGGTGCCCCAAGAAGCAGCCCTCGTTGGAACCCTAAACCCTAAAACAAACCCTAAACCCTAAACCCTAAACCCTAAACCCTAAACCCTAGACCCTCGTTGAGGGAGCCTACCATATTCCTGAAACCTTAAGCGGAGGGCCCCCATGCCTGGGAAGCAGCATGGCCGCAAGCACCGAGAATGTATCTACTTGGAGGTTCATGGTACTTGTTAACCAACTAGAAGCCCCTTAAGTGCCCTAAGATGGTTATAAGTTCTAGGTACAGTAGAAGGAGGTTCATGGTACTTATTAACCAGCCATAAGCCCCTTAAGTGCCCTAAGATGGTTCTAAGTTATAAGTACAGTAGAAGTACACTTATAACTGGTAAGTAAGTACCATGAACCTTCAAGTACAGCACTGGCTTACCCGATACCCTATACCCTAAACCCTAAACCCTGCACCCTAAACCCTAAACCCTATCCGATTCATAACAGTTGCGAGACAGGAGAGCTGGTGGCGAACAAGCTTGGCATGTCTAGTCGCCTAATCCGAGCATCAGTTTCATTAGTTTAATTAATACCACCACATTTTAAAACTTGTTTTTCGTCGAGAAGCCCGCCGGAAGACTACTTTCGATTAGCGGGGTTTTCGCATGGGGAAACACCCACCACATTTACAGAAAGTTTTTTTTGGGGGGTTGCCAAATTTCTGGCACGGGTCTTTTTTGCTTCTCTCGGAGCTGCATTTGGAAATCCGTGAAACTACGAAGCCACCTCAGGGTTAATAGAGAATCAATACAGGGCCATGGTCACACTATTGCGGAACCCTGCCTTTCTTACTGTGGCGGGGGGGGGACCCCCCAATTAAACAAATGCTCGGATTACACCGCACCCCCAGAACGCGGATTCCCTCTGAAAAATCACCAACCCCTCAACCATGCAAATGTGCAGACTTCGCTACCTTACGGTACGGAGTGATCTTACGCTCGTGCAGTTGTCGGAAGAGATTGAAGCCACAAACCAAAAAAGGCTAGGGACACAGTTGACGGTTGAGCTAGCTCTTCAGAAGCTCTCTGAACCTACTTTGAGGCTTCAGGGGAGAGCTGGGCAGATAGCCCCATGAACCCTAAACAGATCTAAACAGTAAGGCCATTAAACCCTCAATATCCCTCAATCTTTCTTCACAAACCCAGGGGCCATCTCCGGTCTCGTCGATAGCTTTGAAGATTCGTTCCAGCTTATTCACCTTGGCAGGGTTTCGACTCGTTTGCTGGGTGTCTTGCAAGTTTTCCCTCAACCCGGAGCCACCCCGTACCCCAAGCCCCGAAATCCTAAAAACCCCCGGAGCCACAAAAGCTGAAGCCAGATGATAAGGGCGTGGCATACTGCGACCTCTTTTGCAACCGCTCCTGGTCATCGGGTGCTTGCTTCACACAAAGCATCCGGAGAATTCCAGGGTCCAGGGTTTAATTTGGGCTTTAGGGGGGCAGGGCATGTTAACCCTGGAAGCCGCCCTAGATGCCCTGGGGTTCAGGACTCAGTACCCAAGGGCTTCCACTACAAGGCAAATTTCTATTCGCACTCCGAAGGCCCGAAACCCTGACTGTGCTCTCGCAAGCAGCGAACCCCGTGCCTCACAAGACTACAGCGCGAGCGAAGTATGAGGAAGCTCCAGCAACGACATCCCTCTCCAATCGAAGACGCTTGGACCCTCAAAGCTCACAGCTCAAAGCCCGAAGTGTACTGTAGAAAGAGGAAAGGGGTGATTTGGGGTGTGGTTGCTTGCATCATATGCACACGTGCAAAGCCCCAAGCACGAATGTGCTAAGCATCTGCTACAGCAAAAGGACTACAGTAGCCCGCCACGGCTCGGACAAGCACATTCGGCAAACAATCCTCTCACGACACCCCCTACACATCTCAAGTGCCCGCACAAGTCAGATGCATTCGGGCAGCTACAACCAGATGCTCTGCATCGTTGCTCGCGGCGTCCAACGTGTCTTTGAGAAAGATTGCAGTTATTACCTCGCAAGTATATATATATATATGACGTTGTAGTGCAGGTACTCGTAGACGTAGTTATTACCTCGCAAGAAAAATGTTGTTGTTGTTGTCGCAGTAAAGCCCATGCAGCTCGAAGCTCAGCACACATCTGTGCAGCATTCTTCATCTACTCTGGGCCCTCATGGGTCTCTCTCCCGGAACCGTAGACTCTATGACTCACCTTTGCTTCCCTTAACCCAAAGATGCTTGGGTTTCCGAATCCTCACACAAGCCAGTCGCACTGGTCACAAGTCGGGAAACGGAAGTACCCGGGTCAACCGTTCAAGCAAACAAATATCTAAAGCAGGGTTCAACAACCAAAAGTTATGGAATCAACCTTTGCCTCGCATGCTGCACCATTCAGCCCAAAATTGTGATCAAGCTTGTTTCGAGGGAAAAAACATCTTGTGCTCGCCGTCCCCACTAGTGGCGCGCTGTTTGGTTACATGCCCAGGCCATTTCTTGAGATGTTGCTTGGCATCGTGCTGGCTCTTGCACTTGCAGTTGTGTTTTCTGGGCCCGGCGTGGCGACAAGCATTACCGAGCGTAGAACGCGCGGGACGAATCTACACACAGTCTTATCACAGCACAGAGGCATACAGGGACTGAAGAAGAACAGAGCGCTGATTAGTGCTGAATCAAGAACCGAACCTGAGGCCTACTGATGCAGGGTTTCGGGTTCAGGGCTTTTCTGCCAGCTGCCTAGCGGATCCTAGCGGCCTCACACCACACCACGAGGTTTCTTGAAACCTACACTAGCAAACCTATCCTCGTAGTAAACCAGAAGTGAGCCGCAGACGTTTTGTACTAAGCCGTCCAAAAAAGCACCAGAGGCCACATCACTGTGACTGACATGGTTCACAGAATCAACGTATAGGGAGGTCTAGAGTTTTTTTGGAATTTGGGAGGGTTTGGAACTGGGCCAGGGTCCCGGAATGTCTGGAACAGGGACATGATCCCGCTTAGTTCGGAAAATTTAAACTCTTCTGGAAGTGGGGCATGGAATGTTGGAGTTTTGGGAGTTTTTCGGAAGTTTTCGGGCTGTTGAAAGTAGAACGGTTGGAATCCTCTGTCTCCTCCGAATCAACGGCCTTAAAGGAAAAATGGAACTTGGGCAAAGAGGAAAGCGCAGGGGGCATCGCGACTTACGGGTAAAATGAAGGAGGTTGGTTCAAGGGGTTACCATAATATATATATATATATACACACACACATGTTTACAGGGATCTGGGGTTGCTTCTTCGGAACATTTTGGGGTTAGGATTTTAGGGTGTTGGGTTTGTTTCTGTAGGGGGGCTTGGGTCTGAGGCCTTGGGGTGTATGCCTCAAGGGACTACATACAGCTACGCCTGACTTGAGCCCCCTGAGTCCCCAGCTCTTATCACCGCGAAAACCACCAGCGTGATGTACGCCAAAAAGAAAATCGAGAACACGCTGCTCCTGGGTCAAGCGCTGCTTAGGGGGCCCGATTTAGAAGGTGTATTTAGGGTAGTTTACTCTATGGCTATGATGGGATTAGCAAATATGCCCGTTCGTGTCGGTCCCGTTCCATACCACGCGGGACTGAGACTTGCGTCCCGTTCCTAGTGGCAGCCCCAATAGGACACCCCATGCACCCACCAGAATTTGCAAGGGGAGTACCTACACCCAACTTCAGCACGCGACTTCCACTCCTGAGCCTGGCAAGTCAAACCAAGCCGCACTTGGTCGATGATCGGCCGTGCATAAGTTGGCCAGTTGCCTGCCAACTAAAAACTTAAGCATCAGCCACGCATTGCAATAACAACTGTCCCATACTTTGTAGCATCCAGGTCTTTGCACGGTAAGAAAGGGACGGCCTTTCGTACAACTCCGGCACGCGAGATCTTGCTTTCGCTATGGTCAGGAGCTTTTGACCCGTTAGCCTTGATAATCAAGCGTTGGTGCAGCCTGCGAACCCTACAATTGCGAACGTAAACGAGCCCACGTTCATACGGTTCTACTGTGCAGAGAACTCATGTCACGGCCCTATGCTACACTAACCTCAACACCAGAGACCCCCACTTCCTACATGTGCCAGGAACCTTGCCAACGGCTCTCTCCGGCCTGCGAAAGTTATTTCATAAAGCGTGTACATCGACCGCAGCGCTGTACCTCAGTAAGAGACCGCTGCGGGCTGAACCCCCCGCACTACCCCAGACTCGAAACCTTCGATCCTAAACCTTAACTCCTAAACCTTAGATCCTAAACCTTCACTCCTAAACCTACAGCCCTTCTGCACCTGGACTTGTTGAATGCTAGCCAACCTACAACCCTGAACCCTCAAGCCCCCTGAAGCCACGGACCTTGGGCTAGCAGCTTGGAATTGGAACCCTGCCAAGGGTTCCTCTAGGGTTTAGGGTTCAGCCGTTTAGGGTTTAGGTTTTAGATGTTTAGGGTTTAGGGTTTAGATGTTTAGGGTTTAGGGTTCAGCGTTCAGTTCAGCCGTTTAGGGTTCAAGGTTCAGCCGTTTAGCAGGCCAGGCTTGCCCATCTCAGGGCTTTGCGGGGCTCACTGGGATTTAGTGTGAAGGGTTTAGGGTTTAGGGTTTGGGGTTTAGGGTTTAGGGTTTAGGGTTTAGGGTTTAGGGTTTAGGGTTTAGGGTTTAGGGTTTTGGGTTTTGGGTTTAGGGTTTAGGGTTTAGGGTTTAGGGTTTAGGGTTTAGGGTTTAGGGTTTTGGGTTTAGGGTTTAGGGTTTAGGGTTTAGGGTTTAGGGTTTAGGGTTTAGGGTTTAGGGTTTAGGGATTCTCGGGTGCCAGGTCAAAGGTGGAGGAGTTTGGGACACACGGCGGATGCTTTCGATCGGGGTCTTCCTGAACCGTACATCTGGCCACACTTCATGGAGCTTCATTCGGAAAGCCTCACAAGAACATGTGCAGGTCTAGGTCGACAGGGCTCTCGCCACCCAGATCTTCAGGGCACTTGAGGTTTCCACCCTAAACCCTAAACCCTGAACCCTAAAGCCTAAACCCTAAACCCTAAACCCTAGGCTGCAGGCCAGGGGCCATAATGGATCCAGACCCATTCTCGCCAGATCATGTCCTCCTCGGGATTGGCGATGAACTCCTGCAGCCTGCTCACAAGCTTCGTTGTGGAGATTCGTGACTTCTTTTCTAGGATGGCCCTTCAAACCCTCTGAAAAATATTCCTAAATATGGTCCTCTTAAACCCAATAAGGGAAAATATAAAATATCCCAAGCGCCTACCTAGTTTTTGCTTTCCTAGATGGTGGTTTACGAAAATACTGGTACTTTATTGGGGTCCGTTTTAAGGGGATCCTACTATTTGATCCATTTGGCCCTCTAGATGAGGGGTCGGGCTGCGCATCCTGGTTCTGTTTTGCTTCTGCGCCCGTTGCCCTTTGCCACCATAGCTGCTATAAACCCTAAACCCTAAACCCTAAACCCTATATCCGCAGCCCCCAGGCACAACCTCGACACAAAGCACCACCTGGAACTTTGCAAAAAAAATGCCAGAGGAGACCCAGCACTGGACACACCGACGCAAATGGGTTTAGGGTTTAGGGTTTAGGGTTTAGGGTTTAGGGTTTAGGGTTTAGGGTTTAGGGTTTAGGGTTTAGGGTTTAGGGTTTAGGGTTTAACCGTCCCAATTTCATCAGAATCTTAGGGTCGAGCGAGAATTGTCGAGAATCGGGGGGGTTGAGGGATTGGATTGAACCCAGGGGCAGGTTGCCCAGCATCAGCGCACCCATGATCATGAACACCGCGAGCAGCACCATGGACCAGCAAAGCGAGGGAAGGAAGGAAATGCCTTGCGGAGAGCCGTGCTTCAAGCAGCCGAAGCTCCCTTTTGCCGCTTTTGTTGCGCAACTTACGTCTTTTTTTGATCTGTGTCACCTTCATCTCTCCTGTATGGCCAGAAAAAAGGTCTCAACGACGACTTTCAGTGTTTCGCTTCTTGTGGGGGACCTTCGCGACGACTTTTAGGGTTCAGGGTGTTCTTCCAGGCTTGACCTCAGCCCCTTGCAAAACTCAGCATATTGCGGGCTTACGATTATACGGGACCCAAACATATCCAAAATACTAGGACCCCTGTATAATCAGGGGAACGTGCATTCCGCAAGTCCTAGCGGTTGCAACGATTACTGGAGGTCAGCACGTGTTCTACGTTTTTAGTTTTACCTCTGCAACTTTGCTCTCTGGAAACATGGTCTGCAAGCGTTGTAACAGCGCTCTCGACTGACAGAAACAAGAGCGCGAAAGATCTTGTTCGACATGCAACAAACATCCCAGACGCTGCGTGCATGCCAACTGCTGCAGCGAGACGCGGAATTGGCTTGTTAGAAACAGCATAGACAAGTGTGAGCAAGGTGGATTGCAACGAGTTTTGCAGTAGTTTCAACCGATCGGACTTGCAGAGTGCATGTCTATTATAAACATCATGCCCCCCTTTTGCATCCCGGTCTCTTCACACTGCCGGGCAAGACTCTATCATGCCCCCCCCTCCCTAAGTTCGAAAATCCTCAAACTGCACGTTGGCTGGCCAAAGATTCGAGGGTTTCGTAGTTTGCTGGAAGATGAACTGGCTGGTGACACACTTGGTGAAGAGCTTCGGCGGTCATTCGGGCTGATCTTCCTAGACCCTAAACCCTAAACCCTAAACCCTAAACCCTAAACCCTAAACCCTAAACCCCACACCCTAAACCCTAAACCCTAAACCCTAAACCCGAAACCCGAAACCCGAAACCCTAAACCCTATCCCAGAACCCGTCAGCTGACGGGCATGGCAAGCTTGTGGTGCTCAGCCGAAAGAATCGAAGGAAGCCGAAAGAAGGGCCTTGAAGAGCCCAACCCTTCGTCCGGTGCATCCAGGGACTCTCTAAGCATCCTAAAGCCATCGAAGCTGCAAAGGTGCTGAATCTACGAGTGCGTCCCGACACTCTGAGGGTTTGGGGTTTAGGGTTTAGGGTTTAGGGTTTTTAGAGTTTAGAGTTTAGGACTCGACTTTATCCCCTACCTACAATTCGCCCTCAGCACCGACGAGGCTTTCCAGGCATGCATGGTTCGGTGCCCAACCCTTGGTCCAAAAGCCCTATTCATACGGGGGTTTCGCAGAACTAGGGTACCCTTTTCAGGCAGTCCCCTTAAGGGGATTCTATGCGGGTTCTACCCTCTCAGACGCTCGACCCTGAAACCTATTCGGCCTGCTGGCCTCCTACTCAACGCCAAGCCGCAGGCCATGACGAGAACGCGCAGCCCACGAAAAAGGCGCAGAGTACGCCTGGGAAAGGCTGAGGTTTTAGGTGGCCAGCTTAGGGTTTAGGGTTCAGGGTTACGATTCAAAGGTTGCCTCGAAAACATGGCTTAATGTCTCTGTTGCGGGCACTGCACCAGAAGGGATGCTCATGGCTCTGAACGACAGGGTTTTGGTAGTGCGGGACACCCCGCACTTCTCACTCTCATCCTTATCTCACTTCATGGCTATATTTAGGCTCCTACTGTAACTCGCTTGTGAATATGTATGACTTTTAGGGTAGCCTTTTTGGTTCTGGTCCAGAGCACAAGAAGGGCAAGAGGGTACCACTGCACACCGGGCTGCACCATGCGAATGGCCCGCATGGATTTGACGGCCCGCGCTAGACGCAGAAGGATCATCTGATCAGTGGCCCCACCTTGACAGGCACGGCCCGAGTTCTCAACGAGCCCTTTCTCGGTCCAACTCAAGTTGGGAGACAAGAAGCTGACGAAATCGAAGGACTCTCGGCACTTCAAAAGATGATAGACACCAAAGACGAAGCTGGGACCCGACGTGTCCCAGACCCCCTCCCCTAACTTATGCACACGCGCAAGAGCCCGAAACCCTAAACCCTAAACCCTAAACCCCCTCAAAGGTCCACAAGCCGCAGCCTCCCAAAGCCATGGGCCGCAACAGCCAGACATCCAGGCAGGTGGTGGTGGCAAGGAAAATGTCGAACCAATTCCTCAGGAAAAGACGACGAAATGGTGGCGCCGCAGTGGTTCACCAAGAAGGCGCACTTTCGGCAGGAAAAAGAGGATTTGCTTTAGACAATATGCAACAAACAAAAAGAGGTTTTTCTGGGACTACAACTCCTCCGTGTTAAAATCAGGATTACAACGACGTGGTCACTCTTAGTGGGAACTTGGGGACTCGGTTATATCCAATATGCCCGCGCATAAGCCTTCCAGGGATACTACAGGAAGACCCTAAGACCCTAATTCTAACTCCGCGACAGGGACCTCGGGATGATGACGCCCGTTTATGGTCAAGCGTCTGGCATGTCGGGCCCCCCTTTGGTAAACCCGAAGCTAAAACCCTCGAAATTCAACCAACAACCACATCACAGGGTTTAGGGTTTACGGTTTAGGGTTTAGGGTTTAGGGTTTAGGGCTTAAGGATTTTTGCCACCCGACTAGCCACAGCAATGCGGGGTAAATTGGTCGGAGGAGTGGAAAAAGGTCACCCAAGGCTTATAAGGTTTAGGGTTTAGGCTTTAGGGTTTAGGGTTTAGGGTTCAGCAGCTCCGGATCGAGCAGATTTACGGCTCGGATATAACACCCACCCACCCACCCAGCAAATCCCATAACATTAAGAAACCAAAAAGTTTCTTCATACAAAAGTTGGGGTGCCCACGTGCCGTGCCCACGATTTTTTGTGCCTTGCCCACGAATATTTGTGCCTTGCCCACGAGTTTTTGTGCCTTGCCGGGGGGGGCGGGGTGGGGGGGGGGTGGGGGCGGGGTGGGGGTGGGATGGGGGGGGGTGGGGCCACGTGCCTTGCCCACGAGTGTGCCTTGCCACGAGTTTTTGTGCCTTGCCCACGAATTTTTGCGCCTTGCCCACGAATTTCGGTGCCTTGCCCACGAATTTTTGTGCCTTGCCCACGAATTTTGGTGCCTTGCCCAGGAATTTTTGCCTTGCCCACGAATTTCGGTGCCTTGCCCACGAATTTTTGTGCCTTGCCCACGAATTTTGGTGCCTTGCCCACGAATTTTTGCGCCTTGCCACTAACTTGTGTGCCCGAAAATTCGTGGGCAAGGCACAAAATTTCGTGCAAAGGCACAAATATTCGTGGGCAAGGCACAAAAATTCGTGGGCAAGGCACAAAAATTCGTGGACAAGGCACATTTTGGGGTTTTAAGCTTGCCCAAGGGCCAAGGGCCCAAAAATCCGAAACGCGCCTTGCCCACGAATTTTTGTGCCTTTGCCCACGAAACCCATTAAGGTTTATATATATATTATATATATATATATATATTTTTTTTTCTATATAGAAAGAAAGGTTTAGGGTGCATGGGGGCGGGGTGGGGCGGGGGTGGGGGGGGGGTGGGGGGGGTGGGGGGGGGTGGGGGGGGGGGGGGGGGGTGGGGGGGTGGGGGGGGGGGGTGGGGGGGGGGGGGTGGGGCGGGGGGGGTGGGGGGGGGGGGGGGGTGGGGGGGGGGGGGGGGGTGGGGGGGGGTGGGGGGGGTTGGGGGGTGGGGGGGGTGCGGTGGCTCTCTCGGGCAGGTGAAGAGCTGCCAAATTTTTCTTGGGTGTGGCAGTCGTTACCCCGGACAACTAACCCTAAAACGTTTGTGGCCCACATACCTTTGTGGAATATAGTTGTATGGAGTCCGCGGATTTGGTCCCAATCGCAAGGGTCATTTCTGCACAGAAGAGCCGTTTTATGAGGGAAGGAAACCTGGGTAGTTTCGTAAATGAAGGCAGCCTTTAGGGGGATCCCTTTTTAAAGGGTGCCGCCTTACAATGGGTACCCACAAAGGAACCCTAATTTAGAGAACTACCCACCTGAATCCCCCTCGGACACCTTGTCTGGAGCCCTGCAGGCTAGGATAGAAGAAGGGCCCGAAACCCTTACCATCAGCTACGATGGAATTGCCATTAGCTGGCTAGCTCTTTGGTGAGTACTAGTTGATACTACCTGCTATTGTTGCTATTAGATGTTATTCGTTGCTAGTTGTGAATTAGTTGCTATGGGTTGTCTGACTTATTACATCTGATTACTTGCTATGAGTTGTGGTTCATTGTTCACAGTTCGTATTCATTGTTACAATTGGTAGTAACTGTTCTTAATTCCCACTAAATGTTTCTAGCTGAGATCATCCATGATTATTTGTTACTAATCCTTTTCTCCGTTGTTACTTGTTATTAGTTAATCGTTCTCATTTGTGAGACCTCTTTAGTTTTAGCTATTTCCAGGTGTTGCTAATTCATATTGAAGATTCTTAGCTTTTCAGATGGTCGTACATATTTTCGAGTATTCTTACTTATCATTAGTGTTTCTTAGTTATTCTTGGTTAAAGATGTTATCAGCTGTCATGAGAGGTTCTTGACCTTTCTATTGCTCGTCGTCGTGGCGGTAGCAATGGTGAGAAGAATAAAATAGAATTCTCCTGTTTTTCTGCACTAGTCTCATCCTTACTGTGCCAAGCAGCGCCGCGCCCTGGAAGAAGCGACAGCGCTCGTAGTAAATCCGCGCGCAGAGCTCAAAGAAGTACCTGTCCCACTGCTTGCTGGGCTTTGGCCTTACAAGGCGTTCATTCTTCTTTGCTATTGCAAATCCGGGCCTGTTTTTGCTCCGGGCTTGCTGCGGTTTGTCATCTTAAGCCGAAACCGAAACAGGAACAAGCGTAATAATTCCGCAGAGGCAGATGAGTCTAAGCCCCTCAACAGAAGACTCGACGAACCAAACAAAATCAGGGGCACAGGACTGCAAAGATGTTGTCACAAGCAGTGAAGAAGTCGCTCATGTCAACACCCTGGGCTGGTTGGTGCTTGCCTACTTGTAGTGGCGAAAGCTGTACATGGCGCAGGGCTCCAGCACTTCTCGGATCAGGGTTCAGGGTTCAGGGTTCAGAACTTCACTGCGCGGCAGTGGGCGACTCCGCAAGTGAAAAAATGCACCATACAGCCAGCCTCGGTCCTCAACCCCCCGCCCCACCCACCGCGCTCGTTGTGTCCCTTATACCGGTTAGTTCCAAGTAATCCAATTCCCCCGAATTTTGTCAAGCCCCTCTGCCCCCAAATGCTATTGTTGTGTTCTAGTGTATGGGGAACCCTAAACCCTACTGTAAGCCCTATTCGAGACAAGGGTGAATAGGGAGATTTCCTTTAGGGGAACAGGGACTAGATCCAAGTAGCCGGTAAGCTCTCGAGGCCTATCTTGGAGCCGGTGACACGTCCTGGACATCCATTGGCCCCCCAGGGAGTCACAGGCTCCGGGTTCCCATCCAGGTGCAGGCTTAGGGTTTAGGGTTTAGGGTTTAGGGTTTAGGGTTTAGGGTTTAGGGTTTTTGGGCTTAGGGTTTAGGGTTTAGGGTTTAGGGTTTAGGGTTTAGGGTTTAGGGTTTAGGGTTTAGGGTTTAGGGTTTAGGGTTTAGGGTTTAGGGTTTAGGGTTTAGGGTTTAGTCGCTCACTCTCGCACAAGGCAGGCAAGGTCCGTCGGTCCACTCGTCAAAAACCCTAGGGTTTAGGGTTTAGGGTTTAGGGTTTAGGGTTTAGGGTTTAGGGTTTAGGGTTTAGGGTTTAGGGTTTAGGGTTTAGGGTTTAGGGTTTAGGGTTTAGGGTTTAGGGTTTAGGGTTTAGGGCCAGGGTTAGGGTTTAGGGTTTAGGGGTTAAGGTTTAGGGTTTAGGGTTTAGGGTTTAGGGTTTAGGGTTTAGGGTTTAGGGTTTCGGGTTTAGGGCTTAAGGTTTTGGGTTTTGGGTTTTGGGTTCAAGGTTCAGGGGTTGCAACCCCTGTCTACTCACAACCATTCATCCTCAACCATGTTTAGGGTTCAAAGTTAATGGGTCAATGGGGGGACTTTCCCAAGATGGACAGCCCCGCCTGAACTGC